GATATAAAATATATATATTATATATATATGATGCACATATACATATATAAGATATAAAAAAGAAAAGCAAAGTATTTTTCCTTCACTTTTTGAACTTTGACACTTATTTTCCATAATATCACAAGATCAAAAATACATCACTATTCAAAATATATCAATGTACCAAAAGGGAAGAGAAGCATTGGCTCCCAAGGCCTTCCTGCACGACAGCTTACAGGAGGAGTCCCAGTGAACTTAATCAACCATGTTACATTTCAGAACAGAAAACGGTCCTTCAAGTAGGAGAGGCAGAGTTTGACATATACATAACCTTTATACAGGAAGCTGTACTGTGTTTGAAGAAAGACCTTAATTCTCATCTCTAAACAGCCTAAAAAAAAAGAAGAAGAAGAAGAAGAAGAAGAAAAGAAAAAGAAGCGGGGAAGCCAGGCTAGAATGAGGTGCAGGGGAAGAAATACAATAGTTTTGCTGTCAATTACCAGCAAATATACGCTTACAATTGGTTCCTTTTAAACTGTTTGTCTTCCTTTCTCCTTTTGATACAGTTATGACACTTAACTCTGATGGCTATGAAGACAGCAAGCCAGAGATTTTTGTTGTTGCTTTCCGTTTGTTAGCAAGTGAGAACTAAATGTCAATATATATATATATATATATATATATATATATATACCTGCACCTGAGCAAGCGTGCGCGCACGCGCGCGCGCGCACACACACACACACACACACACACACACACACACACTTCTATGAGTCCAAACAGCTAGGCTCTCCAGCCAACTCATCTGGTGTTACATTAGGAACATGGAAACATAGCTGAGCATGGCTGCCAAACTGAAGCTGCAGAGGACAACTCAGAAAGCCAGGGAGTCCCATAAGAAGCCATATTGCACAAATCATCTTGGAAGGCAGCTTGAGAGGAATAGTGACATCTCTCCAGCTTCACACCGATTCTCCTCTGCTTCCAAATGCTGGCCTTTTGTCACTAAAACATGGCTCCACATTGGGCCCAGCAGAAACCATCACAGGCTGCCATGGCAGTGACAAAAGTTAGCTAAGCAACCCCCAAGGCAATATCCCAACTCGGAATTTTGTCTTCCTTCGGTGTCTTAAGAGGTCAACTGACTTCTTCCAGCCTCAATTTTCACATGCAAGAAATAGAACTCGGGATACACGTCTGCCTCTCTGTGTTCTAAAAACAGAAACTAGCTATGAAAAGGAGGAATGTAAAACGCTATGAAAAGAATAAACTAGATTCTCTGACCTGATTATTGGTGAGAGCCCTGCAGAACTAGAATGACTGCTTCTTCCGATTCCATACGTGCCACCTGGCCATCGGGCTGACTGAGCAACAGCAGCGACTGCACAGCTGGGGCTTTGCAGTGACAGAAACAAAGTTTAAGTCACCCTGGACTTTCATAGTCCTTAAGTTCTAGCCTGCTACGAAATGCAATTTATTGGCATAAAAGTAGATGCAAGAGAAATTATGAATTTTAACCTTAAAACAATGTTCAAAGACTGATGAGATGGTTCAGTGGGCAAAATCGATTGCTGCCAAGCTTGACGGCCTGAGTTTAGTAACCAACGATCCACACGGTGGAAGGAAAGAGTTGACCAAAACCAACACCCCTGTGGCCTTGCCATGCATGTCACATACATACACACTAATTAATTAGTAGATATATTTTTAAATTAAATGTTAAAACCAGTCAGCTGTTAAGTATAGACTATTTGAAACTGATACTCAGGCAAGGTCACAAGAATTGGGAACAAGCTAACCCAGAAACAGACTGAGTCACAAGCGAAGTTTCATCTCATGGGCCAAAACACAATACAGATTATTTTTCTATCACCCTGTCTGAGCTGTCTATCTCAGATTCTTCACTTCCAGATTCTGTTTCTAAAATCACGTAACACTGTGGATTTCCAGTGGCCATCCAGGTACATACTGTCATCTCTGACACCGAAGATTGTCAGCAAACTCAACACGGACACTAATGATCTCAGGCAACAATGCTCATCCGCCTATCAAAGAGATTTTTATTCTAGAAGAAAAAAATCTAAAGCCTTCTATGAAAAAAAAATCACTCTAAAACACAGGAAGGTATCAGTGGAAGACATTCTGATCACTAATATCTGTTACCTCCTTGGAGGTTGTCTTAGTCATAATTTTAAAACCCAAAACTGTCAGACGCAATAACAATCTTCATTCTCACCCAAGTTGCCCCTGCTCTATTCTCACACTGTCAAATAAGGATAGCTGCTGTCATTGTTTTTATGCCATTGCTCCCACCCAGTATACAGATGCCCTTCATCTTAGAATAGTCTCTGAGGCCACTAAACCGATGGATGGTCGTATCTTCCTTACAATGATACTGATCCCTTCCCTGAAGGCAGAGCTGGGGGGTTATCATACCTTGCTGGCGCTATGGGCAGTATGCTAGTTTATAACAGACCATGCATTGTTGTTGTTGTTGTTTTCTTCTTTAAGCTTTTTAAAAAGAATCCTTCACCCCCCTTCCCTCCCCACACACACATAGATCCCCCTTTCCCACTACGAAACTGTCTCATCCTACCAGAAAGTTTTCACACTGACTTCCAGCTTTCATACCTTCCTGTCCAAACTTTAATTTCATGTCTGGAAGAAGCGGACTTGCAAGAAATACACTGGAAGTCTATCTTGTAATGCAGAGAACATGGTATTTCCATGTATCAAAGTCAATGGCGTGTGTCAACGGATACAGAAGCAAGTGATCTCACATACGAATGGATTTTCAGGCCCCACATGAAAAATGTATTCCAAGTTACAAACATCTGAGGGAAAGGTCTCTCTTCTAGTTAACAAATTAGAGTCTTTCTCAAACTCTGTTTGCCTGGGCCATCTAAAATGCTGATATTCTCCCAGATCTCCCAGAGAGGAAAACTGGGTATCTTCTCCATCTCACGCCTAAGTGGGTAACCTAGATACTGTAAATAGAGGCTACATAAAGGATGCAACAGACAGCTCTGAAGTTTGAGCCAAAATATTTAACCAGCAACTCTAAAAACACGGAACACTTAGCCAAAAACTGTACTAACATGGAATTGCCACGGGCTGGTAAATTTAAATTAAAAAAAAAAAGCTCACAAAACTATCAAACTTACATTTACTGTTGCTGGGTGAGGAAAGATCAAGTGTGAACAGAAAAAAGAAAAAGCAATTCAAATTAATCATTGCCATACTTTGCAATGTTTATTTTTAAAAAGAAGAGAAATGCCTCTTTGAATGAAGAAATCAGAAAAGAAGATCCCAAAGCAAAGATTTTCGTGCTAATTTTCTAGCAGTTACTAAGGATGGTGACAGATTAGTGTGACCAACAGTACTCTCTATTTTATATTCTCAATGTTTTTGAAAGTAGCTTAAAATCAACCAGAATACAATAGAAACTCCCTATAAATCTAACTTGACCTACTAGACATTTTTATGAAAAAGTTGTTTCTGACAAATAAAAACATATTCTACCAAAGTAGTAATAACATTAAATATTAAAGTGCATAATCTCTATATACTATTACAGTAATATAACTTTTCTCAAATCAATAAGCAAAAAAAAAAGAGCGCTACAAGATCCATCACAAGAGAGTAACAATATAATTCACCAAGAATCACTCAACAACATCATTATTTTTCCCTTTCTACAACATAGAGGGATTTCAAAGTCTGCCTCAAGAATGAAATTTTCTGAGTAAGTTCTCCTCATTCACAAAAAGAAAGAAAAATTTTTTAAAAAGTAAAGCCAAACAGTCCAATCACAATTTCAAGTCATTTGCTAAGATCATTTGAAGGTAATGAAGTGCAAAATGTATTCAAGAGGAATTGACAAACTTTTGCTTAGAATTCAGACGTCTTCACTAATTATAAAATTTATAACTTTACAGGAACTTGTCAGGTTAAGGAGAACGTAAAAGGTGAATTTCTCTCAGATAACCAGAACTGATTTAATATGCTTGTAATTAAATAGGTTATTCAGTTATCAAGTCTTCAAAAAAGAAGTCTCCTTCACATATCACCCAAATCGAAAAGTTGTAAATTAAACTAAACTTAATATAAACCATGCCCTTTCTACTTCAGACTGTAACATATACCCAAAGTACAAAGGAAAGGACCTCTTAAGTTGTGTTGAGGAGTGGCAAACCATTTGCACTTAATTAACTAATCTGATAAAACATTTTAATTAGGAGGCAAACTACAATCTTAACAAATAAAGGCATCTCCTCCTCAGCCACTGACAGCATGCCAACTGCCTCTTTGGTACACTCAACAATGAATATTACATTCTCCATTTGAAAACACTAATATTAGAAAAGAGCCAAAACTGCCATTCCTGCAGACCCAAAACATGCTTTCCAGAAGTCTTCCTTCCTTTCTGGACAATCTAAAGCAAGCTGCTTTTGGCTTTGCTACAGAAAGGGATGTGAATGAGTTCCACAAATTGTCAATGACATTGCACTTGTAATCCTTTGGGGAAGAGATTTTTTACACTGCCTCATCTGTTTTTAAAAAGCAAGCAACACTCCAATTCTACCACTGATGCTTTAGCTTCATACCAAGACAAGAAAAAATTACTTCTAGTAAAAAGAAAAAGAAAAAAAAAAAAACTACGAAGAAGACTTTGGAAAAACGACACATCCCCACAATTTTTTTTTTAATCAAGCAACAACAAATCTAGGTATGAACTTGGAAGTCGAAACAATAGTCAGCAAATCCTAACATTTCTTACCTGGCACAGGTAAGCACCAGCTCGCAAACGCCACCTTGGGATAGTTCAGACTAGTAAGTAGGCTCATGGTTTATGATACTAGAACGAACGGAAATAAATCTGAGTTGTTCCTTCCTTAGCAAAAGCTACAGCAGCAGCCACACCACACAGTGAGCAGACCCCACAGACTGAACAAGTTCAAATTTCTCACTTGAGAATTAAAAAAGAAAAAAAAAAAGAACATAAAATGAAGACTTACTGCTAGTCATGTGACTTGGTGAGGCCTGCTGTCCATTGGGTGTGCTTGAGGTGAGGTCAATGGCCATACTGGCGTGCTCCCCTTCAGGTGAAAGCTCATTGTCACCTGATTCAAAAAATAAAATCTTTTGGTTTCTGTTCATTGTCACATAACGTGTAATTACTTGGACTGCCTCAGATTCAAAGGGCATGCAAAACTGAATGCTTAAGAAACATGCTTTTCTTTTAAGAGAATCTACAAGGAAATAAAATATACAGTAAATGAATGAAATGAAAAAAAAACCAAAAACACAACTCACTCATAATTAAAAAAAAAAAGAACAAACTTTATTATCATAACACTCTGACAGGTCGGTGGAGATGGGAGTATTTGGCATCCAAAATAATCCTAGAGAAAGCAGTAAGTTTTTTTCCTTAATAATCAAATTTAATTCTTCCATACACAATTCTTAAAGTGAAAGGTTTGTGTTAGCTGGATGGTTCAAAAAAGAGCTTGCTTTAAAAAAAAATTGTGACTTTAAGAAGCTAATTCTTTCATATTATGTGTCTGGAAAATTAGGTTACCTAGTAGTAAACCTCTAGTACACACCACACTACAAGATATATCTGTAACGGAATGTATTCTAAATTTAAATTAAATGGTAACCAATCAAATAGGAAGGTAAAGCTCTGTAAGCTACAATTATTAAATAATGTCCTTTATTAAATGAGTATATTTCTATGCCCCCTTCGTATTTTGCGTCTGTTAGAACTTCCTCATAGTCATTAACAGGTACAATAGTGACGAGCAGATAAAATTAGAGAACTCGTAACAAAAACTCATGGCTCAGGAATTCGCATGCAGGTAACACGAAGCTAACTTTATTACCCACGGCAAATTAATGAAAGTGAATACTCACATGTTAAGTAGCCATCAATAGCCTCTGCTTCCATAGTCAAAGTGCAGTGCTGTAAAACAAAAGATTATGACCTTAACCCAAGGAGTCCTCCTTGGATCTGCCATTAAACTCTTAACTTATTTGAAGCCCCAAGCAGTTAGTCCATGTTGCTCCTGCAACCTGTGCCCAAGAAACATACTACAGTGTACTGTGCGTGCTCATTTGCAAGTCATTGAACTCTCTGCAAATGATCTGATTCCTGCTGGAGATAGGATAAGGAAGATTAAGTGTGCTGTGAGATGGGCTGTAGCAAGAAACGAATGCCTCTCTTAACCAAAATTTACCTGTTTTAGCAGGGAAAAAAATGCAGAGGGGGTACACGTCGGATTTGCCATCTATCACCGCTATCTAAGTGTTTTACCATTCCCTACTTCCCAATCACACTGTTCTTTGAGGACTTCCCTCATATACAGACAGCTCTATTCACAATTGTTGCAAGTTGGTTCATCATGTTCTAAGAGGGAGGGGGAGAACAAACAAACATAAGAAAACAAAACAAAACAAAAATACTCAGTGCTAGATTGTATCTTGAAGGCTTCTGCAGCAGTTGGTCAACTCTCCGGCTTGTATTGACATTTTAGCCTACCCCAAATTCTGTGTAAGCACCTGCTCAACGGACCCTTAATTTCCTGCCAGACCATGGCTGCAGACAAACGCCAAGCCTACTTAAGACATTCGGATTTCCAACAGTTCAGAAACTTTTGGCTGTGCACGAGGGGATCATTTTCTACCCAAGTATGGGGGAATGGTTTTCAGGCACCAGCAACACAAAACAGAACTTAATCCTCTGAAACAAAAGTAAACTCTAAGAGACGACACCCCCTAGCTTTGATTTCATAGTGAAAAGATCGATAATCTAACTGGATTCTTTGAAAGGAAAAGTTAAAGAATTGACAAGTCCTAAAGAGATTTTTTTTTTTACTTATTTTTTTTTCTTTGGCCCTGGTCCTTTTTGCCTTTAGTTTCAAAACTCTCACAGCACCAGCAGCTAAATTATTCACAATGAGCCATTTCTGTATTGATCGCCAAGTATATTTAGCCCTGGCTCCTGGAATTTCTCCATTACTTACTGGAAAACAGGCAGCTTCACTTCTTGTCTCCAAAACCACTTCCCTTCTCCCTCCCTCCCCTTCACCACCAGCCTCCCTACCCCCCCACCCCCAAAAAACTTTTCTTTCTTTCTTTATGGAATAATCAGATCAAATTCTCACCTCAGTAACTACATAGCAGTTAAAGCCCGACCTGCTCTACCCTTATCAAATTCTTTCAATTATGATTACATAAGGTTTTAAAGAAAGGGATCCATAAAGTTTAAAGGGGAGCAGTTTCTACGGAGATCTTACAGATGCGTCTATCTCTTTAAAAATGTACACATTTAACACACATACTAAAAGGAGGCGTCAGTTAGAAGCAAAAGAAGTCTACCCCATCAGTGAAATGGTCATTAAACCCTCAGAGAAGGAAAAGAAAGAAAAAGAAAAAGGAGAAAGAGAAACGAAATGTACATACAAAAGAAATTGTCCTTTGATTAAAAAACATTCATCACCATTTCCAGCTCTGTCGGGAGATCCCAGCTTCTTCTAACCCCTCAAAGAGGAGGTGACAATGTCGGGCTGAAGAGAAACGGAGAAAGAAAGAAAGAAGTTTTTTGTGTTCCCCCCCCCTCCCCTCCCTGGCCCCCTCCAGGCCAAGCCCCCTGCAGAGTTCAAGGCGAGGAGGAGGGGAAGCACTTTACAGGTGGGTCATTCCAAGCCCGAATCCAGCAAACAGATCGGCTGATAAACAAAACCAAGAAATGAGAGAGAAGGAACACTCCCCCCCCCCCCACCTCCTCCTCCTTCTCCTCCTCCTTGTCCTCCTCCTCCCCCGCCCCCGCCCCCTCGTCCCTTTGGGATGGTCTAGTAGGAAAAGTCACTCAGGAATGGCACCACGTACTTTCAGGAAAGAGGAAAAAAAAAAGAGAGGGAGGGAGAGAGAGAGAGAGGTCAGTCAGTGCTACAGCAATGCGATTAACAAGAAGAGAAAAAACTTGATCCACCGGTTCCTTAAGAATCGACCAAAAGCTAAGACAAGAAAACTGAAAGAAAAAAGGGGAGGGGGTACGAGGGGAGGGACAGTCAGGCAGAACCCAGCAAGGAACCTAGGCCAACTTCACAGGACTGTTTTGTGGCCTCTGGCAAAATAGAAAAAAGAAAAAGAAATTAAATCTTCATTCCATCTCTCTCGCCCATACCAGAACCTGTCAAAGCGATTTAACTGCCGCTTTTATACATGTGTCACCCTCGTTTTTTTTTTTATTTATTTTTGTTTTGTTTTGTTTTGAATCTCAACAGGATAATACCTTCTATCTAGACAGCTGCAATTTATGCCGGGCTATCCAAGCTCTCTTCTTGGAATTCAAGTTAAAACAAAGCAAAAACAAGTCCAAATCCATGACAGCTATAGAGATGAGAACTGATTAATCCATTAACATCCCAGAAGCAGATTACAAGAAGGGGACGATACATTAAGGACATCATCTTCAACCAGATTCCCTGAGCGTCCTTTACAGAAAGCATTACCCTAATCAAAGCCACAACCCATCCCTCCCCAAAGAAAAGCGCCTATCTTATTATTATTATTACTGGTTAACAGCAACAAGTCATTCGACCACACCACACCGCTAAAGAAGATTCCATATAATTACACTTAACTTTGAAAACACTCCCCCCCTTTGCAAAGCATACACAAATTGATATATAATCTATGAACCAGAAGACAAATAAAACAAGAGCTGTTCTTCCCCACGCAAAAAGCCAAGCGGAGATTTACCTCAGCAGTGCATGCAGTAAAATAATCCCATCACCCTTTTGTTTGTGTTTACTGTTAGTGTGTCCTCTCCCTCTCTCTCTTTCTTTCTTTCCTGTGCCTAACGTGTGTTTGTGCACTGCAGTTGGTGGTGGAAACTAAGGCAGTGGATCTGTAGCTAAGGGTAATCCTGTTTTTACTTCCTCCATCTTCAGCGAGGAGCAGGGTTAGCCCGGGACAGCTGGTCAAACCCCGAGAAACCGATCCGGCGGAGCCCGAGCACATCTCCCCCGCCGGCCGGGCTCGCGCAGACACCCGCGGGCGGAGGGC